AGATGCATGCCAGTAAATAGAAGACAGGCATTCATATTCAGAACGAAGTTCTACTAATCTCCATAATTTCCAAGACGACAGAAAAAACGGTAATACTCTTATTAGTTAAGGTGAAAGAAGCGAATATCTGATTCTAACACAAGAAAAAAGAAATAAATAATCTGTGAGTATAAACTCGCGATCTATGGGATGTAAGAAAGTCTTTGAAAGTAGAAAACAATTTCTAACCATTGAATCATCTGAGTTTTTTAATTAATTTCATGGAATTTCATTCTATCTTGTAAAGGTATGTGCTCGATCAGTGATTTTGATGTTCAGTGTTTCAAATGGGTTTTTATTCATTCAAAAAGCATCAGCTATGATTTAGATTTAGAAAAAGAATCTCCCTCATAGACAATCCATTTGCTTAAATACTCGATAAATCTTCTAGCATAAATCTGATGAATCCATTTTTTAGGCAAGGCATTGTAGCCATAAAATGCGCCTGCCAATTGACCATAGATGGTGGCTGTCGTATCAGTATCATCGCCGAGATTAACAGCAAGTAAAGCACCTTTTTCAAATGAATTTTCATCGGCCCAAAATGCCCATAAGGCGGCTTCTAGTGTCGTGACAATGTAACCTTTTCCACGAATACCATCATCATAACCTTCTTTCTTGCGATAAGAACCTTTTGCAACTGCTTCAACATCATCATGAAGCGGTTTCTTTCCAAACCAATGTCTGTGCTTGTCATAAAATTCTGGACTCATCAATGCCTCTTTTGACTCTCCATGGAGAGCAGCTACAATCAGAGCTCCATAGTATCGGCATGCGTCATAAGCTTTCTCATGTCCGTGCGTAGTTCCGCAACTTTCACCCGAATAATGAACAGCCTTTTCAGGATCTCGATGAAAGAAAAGTGGTACAGGTGCGAGGCGCATGAGCGCTCCATTACCAGCTTCTTGTTTACCGCCACAATTTGTATTGAAATTTTTCAGTAAACGTGGGTCATCAATATGATCGATTTCATCAAGAGAAATATTGTGTTCCTTAGCAAATTTCTGTTGCCGACGCTCAAATTCTTCTAGAGCATTTCGTGTAGCTTTACCAATGTCGAAACATTCTCCAGTCGACGACATATATCCATGTCTGTACCAAAGCTTGTAACGAACTAATTGATCGTAAGCAACAAAACTACTTTTTGTCACCAGTGAGCTAGCCAAGCATAATGCCATCGAAGTATCATCGGTAAACTGCAATAAAATCAACAATCGATATGTTTTCCGAGATCTCAGTTCGTACGAATCACGAACGAATAGAAAATTCTCTAGTACTTTCTTTCAGTCATCAAATTTATAGTGATGAGTAGACAAAAGGAGTTCTTCTCTGAATCAATGTTTATTAGAGTAGATAAGTCTATCTTACTTGTCCTTTTTGTAAACCCCATGTTCCTCCACTCTGGAGATCAGTTACTGGATTCTTAAGCAGATATTTTCGAGGTCTAAATTCGACAGAAGCACCAAGAGTATCACCCAAAGCCATGCCAATCATAGAACCATGAACGCGATTCATCACTTCTCTAGCAATCATCATTGGTGGATTGCACATCTCATTTTCAACCTCATGAGGTCTTTTAATTTTCGTGCGTTTATCATCATGGTATTGAGGATTAATCCACTGTTTTTCTAAAGGTAGGTAATAGAAGACAAGAAAAGTACGTCGTCAATTTGATTTTAAAATATCTTGTAATTTACTCTCAAAAAGAGTTAGAAATATCAATCTTTTTATAAAGATTGAATCAATGGTCTTAGCAAAAAGTAGAAACAGAAGCACAGATTTATAGTGACGAAAACATTCGCTGTAATTTTTAGTTATGTAAATCCTAACTAATTACGTATTAGATAATATCAAAGCTTTTTCGAACTTTTCTTAAGAACTCGCGTTTCAGAATGCTCCAAGAAGCACATGATAATTGTATAATGATTGTACAGAGTTATTGTACTTATTTATATTACATATGTAGCTGTAACTTAGCATAATTCTTTTTAATCAGAAAACAGTTGAAAGACGATGCTATTATTATATCTTTTGTTATTGATCAATTGTATTCAAAATACATAACTATTTATTGTCACCAGTAAGAGGTCTTTTTCATCGGCTGAGACTTCTGACTTACCTGGATTTATATTTTGTGCACCTGAAATTCATAAAACTGTATTTCAATGTGTGATTGTTTTTCGTTATCCTTTACCTCGTTTCTCAGACGGCGACAGTGGACTAACTTTGGCCGTTGAACTCGGCTTCGAACCCATATTCGAAGATCTAAAAAACACGCTGTTTGTTAATATCAAGCTGATCTAGAAAGAATCACGATGCAAATCAATACTTATTCTATTCTTGTTGACTTAAATAAAAGAATTCTGTAGAATAATTAAGGAACGTCTTACAAATACACAAAATCTTTCAATTCAGTTCAACTTGATTTCATATTCTAACCCAATGTTTCTACATGGTACTTCCATATTCATATCGTATCGGTTAGTTCCACATATTTCCCTCTGATTGAACTATATGTCGATAGTTGCTGATCGATCATAGCATAGACATCTTTGTCCTTGTACGTCTTTGGTGGATTCTCTTTTTTTCTGATGGAATTTCGACTAATAAAATTTCCCAAAAAGGCATTGTTGCCTCCAGTAAATGTATGCATAGATGGAGAACAGATAGAAATAGTAGTCTTTTCAATACCTAGGTTTTACTTGGACTAGTAAGTTATGGTTAAAACAGACCATAGACAAGTACGCAGAGAATATCTTGAGATCTGCACTAGTACAAAGTTTATTCCCGGTAACAATCGACGATTCTCTCAATTTTTATGCTAAAAACTATAGAGATAAAAGATAGAAGCCGGCAAATATATAAATCGGTTCAAGAACGGTCTCTTTTTTACAACAATATATTTTTCGGAACCATTTTCATTTCTCGCTCCTTCTTGGTTTTTCACCTACTTTCGTACTCCTTTTTTTTCTTCCCTAGTAATTTCACATTTTAATTTTCTGTCTATGTAAGTGCTTTCAAAAGTAACAATAAATAGTAATATCAAAAAAGAACATTGATTAGTCCAAAAATAGATTAACTTTTAGTTGATCGACAAGCTTTTCATTTATTTTTAAGAATATCAGCATATTTGTTCCACTAGTTATTCTGATTCACGAATTGTGATTCTTCATACTGACTGCCGGAATATTCCTATCAATCAAGTGTATAATCACACTTACGTCCGTTGCTAAAGTCGTAGAAGCACAAGCTTTCATGTTGATAACACATAAACACTAGTGCGCACATAGAAAAAGAGGAATATCGCCACTACAATGTTTGATCCTGTCAAATGTGAAAATTAAATTTATGAGAAGCATTTTTTTTTCTATTGGAAGAGAAAACTGGCAGTCTTGCTGTTTGTCTTGTATACTGTGAGTCAACTCATTCGGAAGAAATATTTTTCTTGCGCACTCTTTATCAATAGAAGTCTCACTTTTCATTCTTTTTTTTTTTTTGAAGTGGCTCGAGTATTTCTTTCGAAAGAAAGAAAGAAAAACTTGCAACAAAGGCTATCTATGTGCAAACAGTAGTCGTCAGATTTCATGAGGTAGCTCGACAAAAGAGAAAGAGTGAAGAACGAAAAATTCCTAAGAGAAAATACAATGTGGGGATGAGTGCGCATGTCCTTTTCGTCTTCATCAACTCAGTCCCACAGCTACATCAAGATTACACCGCAGACCCAGACTCAGATTCGCATACTCATACCCTCCAGTCTAATCCTCTGAACGACTTTTCCCGATAATAAGTCTTATCGAAAATTATTTATTTCAAACTAGAAGAACTTTAAAATCTTATTTTCAAAGCTGGATGCTACTATCACCTTTTGCAATTAATACGAAACTAAAATCGATGAAAAAAGCTGTTATCATTAATATGTGTCACTTTCATTCATAACAGGATAACATAAACTAATAAGTTCACAATTTTGTTTGCTAAAAGATTCACTTAAAGTGGCAAAAATTGAGATGTGCACTAGGTGCTTGTTTTAGAATAAAAACGTTTTTATTTTAAAATTGTTTATCAAAGTTTAGAGTGAAAGTTTATCTGTGACTAGTTCATAGTAGTCTTTTAAACCTATAATACCGATTCTAATCAGAATTTGATCAGTAAAACTCTGATCCTGATTATATTCGAGAAACTACATCGAGTTCGATGAAGACACTTCATCTTCATCAACACAAATTTGTGAATTTTTTCCTAACTTTAGAAGGGTATGAGTGTGGGTCTCCATAAAGAAAATACTCACATCCACACTCATTCTCAATGATATTAATGCTTGGAACAGTAATTCAGTTGTATCTGTAATGAAAAGTCTTCTCATTGTCCTTCTCTCGTTTATTTTTTTTCTATTAACTTTGTTATCGTTCTCTTCTCCTATAACCATTACTCTTGGTCACCTTTCTCTCTCTATTATTTTTATATCAAACATGCGTTCTGTGCACGATTAAAACCAGTTGTTGTGTAAAAATGCCCAAATAAAGTGAATATTTTTTACCACTAGGATACTTTCTAACTCAAGTTCATTATAGTACGTATTCAAACACTACTTTTGTTTTTCCAGAATTCTGACGATCATATGATACCATGAGAAATATAGGAGTTTCCATTCTAATAGAAGTCAAAGAAAATAGAAAAATACAAGAGAAACTTAATCATGTCTAATATTCTTTCTATAGGATGGCTCAAAGAGCGGATGACGTTTCTACTTATGACTACATTATCATTGGAGGTGGAACCAGCGGTGCAGTTGCAGCTCGACGTTTGGCAGAGAATAATATCAACTTTAGTGTGTGTCTTCTTGAAGCAGGTCCAAGGTATATTTGTTCGTTTGTATCAATTTCTTTATTTCAAGTAATCTGTTTTTTTGTGGCAGTAATCATGATATAACCATTAGTCATATTCCTGGTGGTCGGTTCTCGATGTATAAAACTTCACTCGATTGGTGTTACCAAACTGTTCCTCAGAAAGGATGTAACAATCGTACCATGGCTGTTCCACGAGGTCGTCTACTTGGTGGATGTAGTGCAATCAATGATACATTCGTTACTCGTGGCACCAAAGCAGATTATGATCGAATTGCTGACATGGGAAATCCAGGATGGAGTTGGAAAGAAATGCTGCCATTCTTTAAAGCATCCGAAACATTTCATTCAACTGAATGGCATCAAGCAGACTTGGATATACACGGAACTGATGGACCTTTACACATCTCGATGACTCTTCTCGCACCCATATCTGAAAAAATTCTCGAATCATTTATCGATAATGGTTTTGATTACAAACCAGATATGTTTGTGCAAGGAGACTACGAAGGTTTGTTACTGTTTTTTTCTACAATAATACTAATATGACAATCTATTAGGTATTGGACATATTAGTCGTACAGTTTACAATGGTATCTGTACTACGAGTGCGGATTTTATTCATAAATACGAAAAAACAAATCTTACAGTTCGAACAGATGTATTTGTGGATCGTATCATTTTGGAAAAGAATAATGAGAAAGAATGTCCATACAAAGCAATCGGTGTGGAAGCACATGATGATACAAACGGTCAACCAATAATTATTAAAGCGAGAAAAGAAATTATCTTAAGTGCTGGGTATGATAATGTTTTTATTCTGTGTGAAGATCTACTGACCTTATGAAAGAGTCAACTCATTTTCGTTCTTCTAAAAAAATCTTCTCTGAAAGCAGGTGTAGCTGACTCCCTGAAATAAACACCTTTGAAGTTGCATCTGTTATTATCAATGTGTTACACAGTTTTTTTTGTTTAGTGCTTATAACTCTCCAATGATTTTGATGCATTCCGGTATCGGTTGGGAAAAACATCTTAACGAAGTGGGTATCGATTGTAAAGTTAATTTACGTGGTGTTGGCGAAAATCTTCAAGATCATTTAATCGTATGAGTAGTTTTTTTTCAACTTATTCATATAATAATTAATATTATTGATCAGGTTTATACGTCCTATCAAGTGAGCGATCCGAGTCTCACACACGATCGATTTCTTTATCATCATCCAGATGCTATAAGATTAGCGATCAAAGAATGGCAGGATACTAAGACAGGAGTAATGGCAAGCGCTGCGGTCGGTGTTCTGGCCCTCACGCGAATCGACAGGACAATTCAAGATCCTGTTTGGGAAGCTGCAAAAGCCAAACAGCAGAGCAAAAATACATCCAACTCTGATCCAACTGGACAGTTGCCGAACCAGCCTCATATTGAGTTTATCACTAATCAATCATATATAAGTGCACCTGACCTTCTAGATGCGGGTTAGTTAATTGTGTATCAATAACCTTCTTTTAGTCAGTCTGTATTTTTAAGTATTTCTGTTTATACCCGACAAGATGACCTTCAAATATAAATGTATAGTAAAGAATTTTGAAATTATAAGACAAACTGAATAGGACATGTAAGAATCTAAAGCAGTTGACAACTTATATGAATTGTGAACACCTCCGTCCAATGCAATAACCATCCTAGTGTAAAGACTATTTATGTTTTCCTGGAATTCGAGCAAATTTCCGAGCACATGATTCGACTTGAGAGGAGAGCATTCATTCATGGATTCCACAGAATTACATAAGATTGTATATCTTAAGCAGGCAAATCTTAACTTTATATATATGTATGTCAACTTTATTTATAGATGGCCTTCCATACAATCCAATCAATGGTGAAGGCGTCTTTACTGTGAACACTTTTCTTTGTGGGCCACAAGCAAGGGGTACGGTACGACTATTGTCGAAAGATCCGACCAGCAAACCAATAATTGATCATGCTTATCTTGATAATGATCTAGATGTTGCAGTACTTGCCGAGGGTTGTCGTTTGTGTCATGAAATCATAACGAAAGGTCGAGGAACAAAAGATATTATCGTTGGTGCTTGGCCGAAGATAATTTCGCATCCAAATGATATGATCGGTTGGAAAGAGCATGTACGAACATTCTCAAGTAGCGGTTCTCATCCAGCTGGAACATGCAAAATGGCACCTGAAAGTGATCCTATGGGAGTAGTTGACAGTCGTCTTCGTGTTAGGAATGTGAAGGGATTGCGAGTAGCAGATATATCCATTCTACCTATTCTCAACAATGGACATCCGCAGATACTTGCATATGCCATTGGTGAAAAGGTGGCATCTATGATTTTGCAAGACGTTGATGTTTCAAAGTAATCTACAATGATTTATACAGTTGAACATTTGTTGAGATTATTAATTACATCTATTTTAATCGATTTTCGTCGATAGAAGACATGAATAAAAAACTTCATTCAATTCGAATGCACATGCTTAGATGAATGAAAAAAAAGTTGATTCATATGTACTACTTTCAACTTCATTTCTTTTTGTGTGAACGTAAAATGCTTGAACTGTTTCTACTTAGACGCACTTTATTCCATCTAATAAGATTCCTTTTATACTAGGAACACTTCTGAGAATGAAAAGCAAGAATGATTCTACAACAGAGTTCTATTGAAATCTATGTGATTTCCTTGATTCACATATGTTTGAGGATAAGTTTGAATATGAATGAAAATCGAAAGAGAAAACATAGATGAATCCAAAAAAGGATTATCTGTTGTCATTTTTGGTTGTTCACGAAAAATGTCGAACAGAAACCGAATCCGTATCTTCTAATATCCGGTTGGATATTCTATCGTTAAACTACCTGATTATCTCCTGAACTACATTATAGTTACGCATCCTTATTCAAAACAATCAAAAAAAATAGATCAGAACAGTAGTAATTCAATAGATCTTTCTCAAAATTTTGTCGTACACGTACTTGCCCTTACTTTATCTTTGACAGTCTATCTTGAAATAGCAAAACAGAAGTCGAGGATGAGAATGACTATATAGAAAAAATAAAACAAAACGACGAGTTTAAAATAAGCAATCATATCACTTGTCTACGGAAATAATTACATCTGAATTTAAACAAATATAATCACATGGATATGTCTTAATAAATACGAAGGATTTGCTAAGTTAAGATCATAAAATCAGAACAGAAATGGATAATTCTTTTTTGAAATACGTTAAACGATTTTTGGCGATATCTTACTGAAAAATTACATATCAGTTGAATGTTTATTTTAAGGCTAAAAAAAAATCCTTTGAGTCGTTTTGAAAAAAGAAATAGACCGTAACAGTTTTCTACCTTACCATTAGCCGTCAGTCGATCTATTTAATCATTGAATTCATGACTCATTGTTCCATAATCAATTTTATTTATTTTGATTGTTATTTGTTTTATTCGAATCAGCAATATCTTTGTGTGATTGTTTGCTATTTACGTTGTTCATAATCATGTTTTTTGAATTTTTCTATGCCTTTTGTTAAATTATAAGCTTGTCATTTGTGATTACTGTTTATCACGATTGCTTCATCTGAACTAGTGCTCCCTTTATGTGTTAATTTTTTGTTTTGCCAATATAATCCTTCATCAAGATGTAAATGAGACGTTTTTTTTTCATTCAATGAAAAACTGTAAAGAGAAAAATATTGATTTTTCTTTCCTACATTCGTAATTAGTTAACATAAATATTGGATAGGTTCAATAAGTCATGATATAGATTACATAGACATTAAAAATAATAATGATGAATATAATTAACTTATGTAATGACTATCATGTTCGATTAATGCCATCATTCCTGGTTTGCTGTGTCAACCCTTTGTTGTTCATCATTCGCTGTGCTACATTCGCGTGATTCATTTTTTATATGAAAATTTGAATGCCTGTTTCCACTTTTTTTTATTTTGCTTTCCTTATTGTCTAAAACATATTGTCAATTGATTTACGATCATACATTGAACTTGCTTCTCTCGATAGCTACGTACATCCTGTATTCTTGTAGGCGATATGCTTTCTTTCGTATCTCAATAAGACTTAATTGCGAGATGTCTTTAATCTAATGTTACTATATAAGGCATAGAAATCGATAAAAAAAAAACATCAGCAAAGTGAATCATATGTACCAGAGTTTCTGAGAAAACCGAGATAATTGATTTACAGATAACTAGTTAAAATGTTCCACTATATAGAGATGCTCACGCTGGAAGTAAAATGAATCCTATCAGTGTCTCATTGAGGGATATATACCGAAGGATGAAAGGAAAGAGATATTCTTGAGAAAAAAATGGTAAATTTTTTCAGAAGAGTCAAAATCCATTTGTATTGAATTCTCCACTACTCTGTTCATAACCATTGTTTAATCGTCGCTTATATGTCTGTATAATGGACATTTATTGATTTGATACATCTCAAGTTGGATTGAGAATGAATGTGAGTGCATGTGTGGATCTTCTCTTCAACTAGACAATCACACCCACACATCCAAGTTAGTATTTTTTGGACAAGAGAGAAGGAAAAGGAAGTGCAGAGCTTTTCTTTTTAATCAAGATGAACTATGTGCAACTAAAATTATGTTGGAAATTTTTACCTTGCACAATAACGGTCAAATACATGACGTGTCAACATTTCTCTTTTCTTTCTTTTTTTTCCATGGAAGTAGCATTACGTAGGCTACCAGATGGCAAATATATATTAAAGAATCATATAGGCGATTTTGAAAGCAGAAGATTGTATTGAAAAAATATTCATCGACTTCATACGAGTAAAAATTATGGCTATTTTTGGAACTAATGAATATGATTTCAAAATGATTGGCACCACAGTCACTGTACCAGATGCTGATGTTGCCAAAATAATGTACTATATAGATTGTGTATGTACCGTTATTGATTATAATGATAATAATATAAGTCGATATCGAAATTATTCAAATTGGAGAAATATGTCAGATGATGAAGATCGACTCATTTTTCTACTTGCTTTAACACTTTCACCAAAAGAATTAGAAAATCGAGTCTTTTTCAATAACTCAGCATTATGTCCCGATGCAACTAATCAATTTTATGAAATTGGTCAAGTTCAAAATCGTTTAATGGTTGTTCAATCAATTGTTATCGGTGGTCGATCACGACAAGTAAAAAAAATTATGGTGTATAAACCAATTTGGATGCAAAGAAATTATATTGAACCAATGCAACGATTAGCATTTCGATTTAGTCCAGAAGGACAAAGACAAGAAGCAATATTGCGATCGATGGCTTGCATCATTTCTTAACCATGAGCTTGTATATATTTAGTTGTATACTTTAAATATTCTGTTATTAACTTATACTAACGACGAGAGAGTATTCATTTTATATTCTTGAAATAAAAGAAAAATGAAGTAACGAAAAACAAAACTCTCAATGCAATCTTTATGAAACGAAAAAAAAAATGTGATCAGTTATGTAGAACGAAAATTTCATTTACTTGAGAGAATAGAGACTCCTCTGATGATACCTTAAAAGTAAATTATACACTCCTCTAACCTTCATTTTTATTGTGCCATGGGCATACTTTAACTTTTATTAACAATCGTCTTTACAATGAATATTCGACATATTCTTCTCTTAAATGCTCAAAAACAAATAAACGATACATTGCATTTTTCTTCGAGTCATTTTCATATGATTGTATAACACAAGAGAAAAAACAAATTGAATCTAGTCAGGAAAAAAACAACCTTTCTTAATGTTAATGATTATAGATATGTCATTTTTTTTTCTCTCTCTCTCTGCTTATTGTCCAAATAGCGAAAGAATAATCACAGACACCCAAACATCCTTCTATATAAAACCATGATTACTTTTGTTATAGTGAATGGTAACGGATTTTTCACCAGTTTTTTGCCATTAATTTGCTCTTGGATCTCAAAAGCTAGAAAGCGAGTAGGAAAAACGATCCATGGGATCGACTTTATAGTGAATCGCAGCAGGAAATATTTGAATCCTAACCTAAGATATCCTACGTTGAATTGACATTGATGACTATTTACTTTTCACTATGTGTTGACAAGGAAAATTTTCAATCATATTCCTGACCTTATTGATTAGATTTGTATGAATTCATCGAAATCAATCAACACTATTGACTAATTTCACCAAAAAACAAAACCTCATTTTTATGATAAAAAAAATAGAAAAAGTCAGAAGAGGAAATGATGGTTGGTCAGAACGGACAAATTTTCTATGTTGATCAGTAAAATGAGTTCAAGATATTTGAAATTTGATCGCCATAGACAAAAAGAATGTGAGTGTGATAAACGATAACTCTCACACATCCACACCCTCCGTCATGTTGCTAATGAATGATTATAGCCATAGATAGATATAAAGAGAGCATGATATTACATAATGGAATGTTCATTCAATGTATAAGCATTGGGCTTTTTTTCTTTGTACAAAATAACTATCGGATAAAAATAAAACGTGAATTTTTTGCTTATACGAAAAAAAAAACAAACACTACAGATTATATATATTACAAAGAGTCATATAGAAAAAGAACTTGACTTCTTGTTCTTTTCCTTGTGTTTTGTGAAATTTAAGTGTGTAAAAAATGCAAAAATAAATTAAAATAGATCATAAAAATAACTATTGTAATCGTCGTGCATATTCACTTAATACTTGATGAACAAATTGATATTGATCATTAGTTTGAATCATTCCACCACGATCTCGTCGTAAATTACAAAGTATACGAAGTACATCAACAACATGTTCTTTATTTAATTGTTTTATACCATTACTTAATGCAATAAAACAACCAGTACGACCAATACCAGCACTAAAATAAGACATTAAATTAATATAAATAGTTATTTTTATGAGTTAAAATTCTTATAACAATGTTTTTTGACCTATTTTATGATGTACCTATGAGAGTAACTCAAGCGAAATAATCTATAATTTTTCTTTTTTTTTGTTTTGAAAGGTATTCTACCTATTGGACATAAAATGATGATTGTGAATGTTTAAATACCTGCAATGGACGACAACAGGACCAGATCGTTTATTTATTTTCGATAAATCAATTCGACTTTTTTCAACATGATGAACAAGTTCAATTAATGGTTGTACAACATTCGGACATGAATGATCTGGCCATGCTAAAAGATAAATTAAATTTTTTCCTAGAGAGAGAAAGAACTTTCATTTTTAAATATTTTATTTACCTGTATACCAATAATGATCAATTTCACGTTGTTCATTTTCAAACTAAAAGATTTTATAAAAGATTTTATAAAATCAATATCGATTTTTTTGCTTTACTTTTA